CTCAAGCCCTAGTTTCTTCCATATTTGCTTAAGTTCCATGAATTTCTAGGTAGATTACACAATAAAAACGAGTTTTAAGTTCAAAAATCTTACCTCCAACCGATTCCCCTTGAATCCCTCTTTAATCTCCACCAAGAAGCTCTCAAAATGATCAACCATGGAGGAAAAATGACCCAAAATCGCGGATGAAGTGACTTAAAACATTCTGCCCAGTTCTGAACTTCCTTCATCGCGTTCGCGACCTCAGCCTCGCGAACGCGAAGCACATTCTTATTTTATTCAAAATTAACCTTACGCGAACGCGATACCCGCACCGCGAATGCGATGCTTTATTCCTCATACCTACGCGAACACGACTCACATGCGAACGCGAAGAGCAAATCCGCTGGACCCCAACTCCTTATACGCGAACGCGAGCAGGTCCATGCGAACGCGAAGCACAATACTTAGCCTTCCGCGAACGCGGGCTTCAAACGCGAACGCGAAGGCTTAAATTCCTGCCTTCCAATTTCCTTCTACGCGAACGCGAGGTCCTCTCACGAACGCGAAGAGATAAATCTCTGCAACACCTGAACTGAAATTCTGCAACTTTTAAACTTAGAAAATAGTCCGATTGACCATCCGAAACTCATCCGAGGCCCTCGGGACCTCAACCAAACCTACCAACATAACCCATAACCTCATTCAAACTTGTTCCCATCATCAAAACACCTCAAACAACATCAAATTACTCAAAACTCATCGAATTCAAGCATAAGTTTCCAAAAACCTCCGAAATACACTTTCGATCAAAAACCCGACCAAACGATGTCCGAATAACCTGAAATTTTGCACACACAACACAAATCTCATAACGAAGCTACAGCAACTCTCGTAATTCCATTCCGACTCCCGGATCAAAATCTCACCTATCAACCGGAAATCGCCAAAATACTAAATTCGCCAATTCAAGCCTAATTCTACACCGGACCTCCAAAACCAATTCCGATCACGCTCCTAAGTCATAAATCACCCGGCGAAGCTAACCAAATCATAAAAACTCCGATCCGAGCTCGTATACAAATAAGTCAACTCTTGGTCAAACCTTTCAAATTCAAAGCTTTCAACTGAGACTGTTCTTTCAAATTCATTCCGTTTTTCCTAAAAACCGAAACCAACGATCTTCATCAGTCATAACATAACACGGGGCAAGTCATGCCCGAGAACTGGCGATCGAAGTGCAAAAATTCAAAACAACCGGTCGGGTCGTTACAAATCACTTATTTTGGACCACAAGAAAAAGGCCAAAAAATCACTTATTTGGACCGCAGGGAGTAGTATTACAGGATAACCCATACCTAGCTAATTTCTGATGGCAGCAGACGAGGGCGAAGTTTAAAAGATCTCTATGACAAGTCCAAGCTGTAATTATTAGAAATTCGCAGTTCCTCTCCAAGAAAAAAATAAACAAATTACTAATAATTTAATCATAGCGAATTAAAACAATTTGCAAAACTGGCCTGAAGGCAATAGGTTTATCTTGTGGAGAAGGCTCTATCAAAAATTTCTCAAACTCCAATCCGGAAAAAAATTACTCCATGGAGCATAATTTACAAAAATGGTAACATATTTACGACAACACTTATACTTTCAACAACATATTATATTTAATTAATTTGAGATATATTATTTTTTAATTAATGATTTATATTTGAAAATTAAAACCACGAAATGGTTTAGATTTGAAAGAATAAATTATCAATGGATATTGTTTGTATACTCATGTCTTATCATTAGGCAATAATAATATCGAATTACCAATTTTAATTTCGAATTTCATTTTGGTGGGAGGGGGTTGGGATTGTATTATATTAAAGCATTAAAATTTTCGGCTATGAACATTGAATTTTGTCTTTACGTGCCTTGCCCATACTTTCTTTACTATTTATGTACTTTCCTTTTTTCTGAAAGAATACAAACCATACATGACGCATCGATTCAAATCAAAGTAACTAGACGAGGTAGCATGTCTCAATGGATTTCATGTAACTATTTATAGGGGTGTATATGAATATGGTTGGTTCGGATTCTATTAAAATTAAATCAAAAGTATATCAGTTTGGGGTTTGATTTTGTCGGATTTTTTTGTGATATGAATATTATTTCAATTTTATTTTGTTAAATTTTTTGATAAGTAAATATATGTTTAGTAAAAATTGACAAATATATAATCTATTAAAATATTCTTTTGGAAATTTTTTTTTAGTAACACATGATAATTATTTTATAGTCGTTTGACAATAATTTTGCGCTGATATACACTTTCAAGATTAACCGATTTGATAGTTAAACATTAATAAATCTTAACCTATATAATGATATGTTCTATTTAATTTTAAATTATCGAAATACCATTTTAAATTCGAAAAAGATATATGAATTTAATAGATCTTGATATATAAATATGGAAGAACGAAGAGATCGACGCATTTCACTAACACTTGATAAGAAAGTGATCATACAACCCATTATTTAAAGTTAATAAATATGAAGCACTTCATATTTAACTAAATATTACATCCCATAAGAGAATCGCGAATATTTTTAGATATTTTTAAAGAAAATTTATAAAAAGTCTTAAAAGTATATATAAAAATATTATATATTTATATGTTAGTTTGGTTCGAATTTTTTACTCAATATCAAACCAAATCAAACCAAACTAATCGGGGGTTCTAATTGGTTTGGTTTGACTTTTCGATTTGGTATGATTTTCCGATTCGATTTATACACCCCTATCTATTTGGGTGAGTACCACTTTGTTTCATATAGTTTTTAAAGAAGTAGCACTAACTATAAGTAAAGGAATAGATTCTGAAAAAAAAAAAAATATAAACTTTGTCTATATTTATATGTCTATAAAAAAACAATCTCTTTATCTTCACAAGGTAAGGGTAAGATTGTATATACATTACCCTTCCCAGCTTACGAAATTACAATGAGTTTGTTATTATTGTTGTTGTTGGTAGGAAAAATCTCATCTTAACCATGGACTAAAGGTATAATGGACTTGAAGAAGAACCTCTTTTGGTTAAGTATTACTTGCCATAAACTACATGTAATATGATGGCTAATTTGGGAAACTTATGTGCCTTAAAAGACATTACTATGCATTGTAATATTTTGGAACCTTAGCATTAATATAAATATCCTTATTCTCAACAAAGAAAAAACAAAGGTAATTTACTCATAAAGTCTTATATTTTGACTCTTTAATCATCCGAGACTTTTGTGTTATTAATTTGTTAGGAGCTTTGCAGAACTGCTTTTATTAATTACTTTTGCTCTAAATTAAATTTTTGTCACTAATAACTTCAACAAAAAGAAATTAGTGACAACAATGTATTTTTGCATTTTTCTTACTTGAATAAAGTAACAAACAAAAATTTGACGCATTTTAGTAAAATGATAATACAAAATAGTCATTACAAAATGTATTTGATAACATAAGGGGATGATCCTAGAAATCCACATAACTATTTATATAGAAATTTGTTTAATCAGATTTTTGAGACACAATTGGAGTGTTCAACTGTCATGTTGTATTGATGTTTAATCAACATTTTGAGTAGTTTAGATTAAATTGAAATTAATTATTGACATAAATATTTATTGAGACTCAGATTTCAAACAGGGTTTTTTATTTATTTTACAGGAATCCCAATCTTTTTTTCTTTTTTTTTACCAAAGTAGGAGACTTAAGTTATTACTAATTTTGCAACCTTAAACAAAGTTTTAATTTTTTTTGGGGGAATGTCATTCATATTTTTACCAAAGTTAGAGATTACTTTTCTAAACTATATCTCTTTATTATGGGTAAAATACTTATATTAGATTATTTTAATCTAGACCTTTAAAAATTAAAATAAGACAAGCATTCCTCACAAGGAAATAAGAAAATGGAGAAAAAACTTTAATACTACAGAGGAAGCAGATCCAAATTTTAAGAGCTTTAAATTAAAGCAAGTCCCTGTTTAGAGCATCTATTTGCAAATTGGTGGCGGCTCTGCTTACAAAAAGAAAAAAACAGGCCACCATCTTCTCTGTTCAGACATATAAAAGCAGAGCAGAGACAGCTCAACTACATCTTTGTAAGCCATTTCAGCATCTTCTACTACTCTCTTCATTTTACATTAGTTTAATGTGAGAAAAAGAAAGTGGGAATATAGCAAAGAAGGAAAAAAAAAAAAAAAAAAGGAAAAGAACTATACAGAAGAGTTGTAAAAAGAAAAAGTTGGAGTGTGGACAGTAACTTGCTTTTGTTAGATCTGTCATATCATTTGTATTCTCTTTTTTTTTAGTAGTATATCCTAAGACTTTCTCTTCCTCTAGTGTACTGGTTGAGAAACAGAGAAAGAGAGTTGAAGATAAAATGAGGAGCTTGTGGTGGTGTTTAATGGTGGTACCAATCTTTTTCCTATTGGATTTCTCAAATGGAGAAAGCCCATATAGATTTTATACTTGGAATATTACTTATGGTGATATCTATCCTCTTGGTGTCAAACAACAGGTATTTTCATTTGCTCTCTTTTTCCCCTTTTTATTTGGTTGTAATAACAATAACAAATCCATTCAAATCCCACGAGTGGGGTACGGGAAGGGTAATGTGTATGGAGACCTTACCCCTACCTTACCTGATTAAGGTAGAGAGGCTATTTCCGATAGACCTCGACTCAAAGATTTTATTTGGTTGTCATATCATCAAGAATTGGTTTGGAATTGAAATATGTGCATTGTGTTGCTCTTTTCATTTCATGTGTAGAAATTTTTGTATATTTCAGGGGATATTGATAAATGGGCAATTCCCAGGACCACCAATTGAGTGTGTGACCAATGACAACTTGATTGTCAGTGTTTTCAATAATTTGGATGAACCTTTTCTCATATCCTGGTAAGTACTTCTCTTTCTATGAATATTTGAATGACCATTTTACTTTATATTTTAATAGTGAACTGCTTTTTTATGTGGATTTGGTAACCTTAGCCTGGAATCTGTTTTAAGTTAAATGTAGAATACCAGGTCAATAATATGCTACAGTGGTGTCTGAGTTGCTGTTTTAATATAACTGGAATATTAGATAGGTTGATCTTATTATATCATGTTATAATCTAGTCTTGACCAATTTTGAATTATCTGCATAGGGTATTACTTAATCATGAAGAAATGGCTTTCATTTTCAAAAAATGACAACTAGATCTGAAACTACTTGAAGTTATTCATATGAAGATTCAAGTCTTGAGTAATATATTCATCAGCTGAGAATCTCTCATTTTTAGTAATGACTAAGATATTTAGAACTATTTGATTGTTTCTCACGTAGCATTTAAGACTCAATATGTATTTCATGTTTGTCATCTGCTTGGATAGTGAGTAAAACCCTAAATAAACACCAGAAGTTCCACCATATAGTTAATAAAAATACGAATATCGACTATTGGGCAGGGATGGTATTCAACAAAGGAGGAACTCGTGGCAAGATGGAGTTTATGGGACAAACTGTCCGATCCCACCAGGCCAAAACTTCACATATATCCTACAAGTTAAGGACCAGATTGGTAGTTTCTTCTATTTCCCTTCACTGGCCATGCACAAAGCTGCTGGAGGTTATGGTGGCATCAAAATCGATAGTCGTCCGCTGATTCCTGTTCCTTTTCCTCCACCTGCTGGAGAATACACCATGTTGGTTGGTGACTGGTTCAAGCAAAATCACACTGTGAGTAGCTTATGATAACCAATTCTTCAGATATTTTATGGATTGATCAACTGATCTGAACTTATTGCACATATCGCAGGATCTTAAGGCGATTTTAGATGGAGGAAGTGATCTTTCATTTCCTGATGGCCTTCTAATCAACGGTCGTGGATCAAATAGTTTAACTTTCACAGTTGATCAAGGTGATCAATTGCATCAACTCTTGCTAAGTTAACAGTGCATTTCTTGCTTTTATGTTGTAGTAACAAAGGATTCGTCCGATAAATTTACTTTCCAGGAAGGACTTACAGATTCCGGATATCCAATGTTGGCCTCACAACAGCTATCAATTTTAGAATCCAGGGGCACAAGATGGTCTTGGTTGAAGTAGAAGGGACTCACACCCTGCAGAACACCTATGAGTCCATTGATATCCATTTGGGTCAGTCCTATTCTGTATTGGTCACAATGGACCAACCAGGGCAGGACTATTACATTGTCGCCTCGACGCGTTTCACTTCTCAAGTCCTTACAGCAACATCAATTCTTCACTATAGCAACTCAGCAGGAAGTGTTTCTGGTCCTCCCCCAGGTGGACCAACAATTGAGATCGATTGGTCTCTTAATCAGGCTCGATCTGTTAGGTACATTGTGAGCACGAATCTGCTTAAACAAAAACCAGGAATGACCTGCATTTGTCTATTTATTGTCTGTGAAATTAACTGATTATAGGACATTTTTGAGTGCAGGCAAAATTTGACAGCAAGTGGCCCAAGGCCTAATCCGCAAGGTTCATATCACTATGGGTTGGTTAACACCACGCGGACAATTAGACTGGCAAATTCTGCACCAATGATCAATGGTAAACAGAGGTATGCTGTGAACAGTGTGTCATTCATTCCGGCAGACACACCACTCAAACTTGCAGACTACTTCAAGATTCCAGGGGTCTTTAACCTTGGCAGCATCCAAGACAACCCAACTGGAGGTGGTGGTTACCTCCAGACATCTGTCATGGCTGCTGATTTCAGAGCTTTCGTCGAAGTTGTGTTTGAGAATCCAGAAGATATTGTGCAGTCATGGCATATTGATGGCCATATCTTCTTTGTCGTGGGGTAAGTTTTTGCACTTCAATTAGAAAGGAAAAGAAAAGAAAACAAGGGACAAAAATCTCTCGAAGTAATGTTCTTGAGGGTTAAATATACCTTGAGTTTAACTTTGATACAATGGAGTCAGGTTGCCTAAAAGATGACTACATGTAACTGTCCATAATAAATGGGAGACAACTAACCTGCTACAATAGGCTAAAATACAGTATAGTATATTAAATTAAACCGTATGCATTTAGTTTGTTAACACCGATTGGATGAACTACAGGATGGATGGTGGACAATGGACACCTGCAAGCAGATTGAACTACAACTTGAGAGATGGAATTTCGCGTTGTACTATTCAGGTAGTTCCTAACTAAACTTTTCAAGTTCAAGATTTACAAAGTTCATCAGCTTCCTTTTAGGTGTTTTTAACATTTATTTCCTTCACTTGATGGTTAAAAGGTTTATCCAAAGTCATGGACAGCCCTATACATGCCATTAGACAATGTGGGAATGTGGAACATCAGATCAGAGAACTGGGCTCGCCAGTACTTAGGCCAGCAATTCTATCTTCGTGTTTATTCACCAGCCAATTCATGGAGAGATGAGTATCCAATTCCAAAGAATGCTCTTGTTTGTGGCCGTGCTTCGGGTCGCAGGACTCGCCCGCTCTAATTAAGGAATGAACCATCAGCTAAACAGTCACGAAAGGGTGACTGATCTTCTTGTTACTGTGATGAGTTTTGTGACAAAGAATTCAAACGGGAAAGTAGCAGAAGCTCTCCTTGTGAGCACTTCTCTTTTTCTTTCTTAGCCTTTAAGAATGTTTCTCATTTCATTTTAGCATTACTTTTGAGATTCTTGGTATCCAATTTGGTCTTTAGGACTGACCAAAAAGAAGGATACAAAGAAGAAAAGTGAGCTGTATTCATTAAGTCCAGTTTGTAAAACTCAATTCATCAAGTTACTTCCATTTATTCATCCATTCTTGATACTATAGCAAAAGTACTCTCAGGTTTTTACTATGGATTAGGGGTGGCAAAATGGTTAAAAGAAAATAGTTAACCACCATATTATCCACTAAAAAATGGGTTGGATAATGAACTTTTTAAAAACAGGTCAAATATGGATAAGAACCATATTATTCATTTAGAAAATTGATAATCAATGGGTTTAACTTTTACATTTGTAAACCTCAAATTGGGGGTTCCTCAAGTTAGGGAGTCTAATTCTCCCAAAAATGATCATATGCAAGAAGTAATGGATAATATGGTTACCCATATTATCGGCCGGTTAACCCGTTTTTTATCCGTATTAAATATGGATCAGGTCGGAGAATTTACCCGTTTTCGACCCGAGTCATATCCGACCCGCCCCGCCCGTTTGCCATATGGATAAAAGAACATAATTTTGACTTGTAAAAATGAATTTATACCGATTTGTTTTCTTTTTAATTTCATATCTTTATTTTTATAGAACCTCCTGTTACTTGATTTTTAAGAACGAAATGCGAAGAAGCAAGAACTTCAATTAATTAAAGGAATAACTAATTTTAAGTGCCGAATTTTTATGAGTCAGCTCTAGTTAAAGGACTCCAGATTGAGATAGTAATAAACCACCCAACACTAGCCGTAGGTCCGTAACTAACAACCTCAGCTCAAAGACTAAGTGCATGAAATAGTTGCAACGAAAATATCTCGATAGTAGCTCTAAAAGTTGATGTTTAAAGTCGATGCAACTATGGAAGAAATCTGTTAAAATTGCAACGTAATTATTCTCTTCACCTTAATATAAGACAAAAGTAACTCTTGACTCTCTGTTGACTATTTCTCCCATGTTCCAAAATCAGTAATGGATTTATTTTGAATATAAGCGAGCATTAAAAATCGATAATTTTTCTAGCCAAATAGAAGGAGGATTTGATCAGTTTCTATATTTTACTAGTTTCAAACTTCCGGCGCGCCTACGGTAAGTATGCTTGCACTAATCAATTCACTTAATAGGCTTTTGAATACTAATGAAAACTCTAAATGAATGATACCAAAAATTTGATAAAACGGCCATAACAAATCAATTATTTTCTAATACTTAGATGAACAAATTTATAAAACAATTGTTTTCATAATAATTTCAAAACAAAGATTAATCCTTCAAAAAGAGCTAAACAAATTGAAGGATTCTTAATTTTGAGATATTTGTGAAGACGCTGAAAAAACAAAGGAATAACATTGAAATGGAAATAAGTCACGCCAAAATTACCTCCGTATATAAACATGGGTTTACTTGAACTCAACGGTTTGGCCTAATATGTAATGAAGGTGAAAATTAGGGGTGTTCGTAAAAATCCGAAAAACAGAACCAAACCGATCGAAAAAATCGGTACTTTTTAGGTTTGGTTTGATTTTTATTTTGAATTTTAAAAACCGATCAAATTTGATTTGGTTTTGATTTTAATAAAAAAAAAATAACCGAAAAAATCGACCAAACCGACTATAAAATTAGCTATTTAAATTTATTATTACACCTATATATATGTATATTTTTATATGAAGTTTCTAAGATTTTATGGTACATATTAGTCATTTATGTTTTTAGTCTAGTTCTTTGCTATTTGTCGCACCTCCTTTTTCACGAGGCGGAATAGGGAGTTTTTTCAATTAAAGTGACAATGATCGAGATGTGATTATTTATTTAATTTCAGAGTCGCCACTTGGAATAATTTATGGTGTCCCAAGTCACCGGTTTATTTTAGATCCCAAATCGAGGAAATTGACTCTTATTTATGGTCTGCGAACACAGAAGACCGGGTAAAGAGTTCTGTTAACCTGAGAGAAGGTGTGAGGCACTCCCGGGTTCCGTGGTTTTAGCACGGTCGCTTAACTATTAATAATTGGCCTAATTATCTGCTTATTAAATATTCAAAACCTATGTGCATTTTATTCCTTTTAACCGCTTTTAACATTTATGGAATTTGTTTGAACAAGTCGAGATGTAGCGCACTCGTTTGTTTTTGTACACATTGCGAATCGCGTCACAGGAACTGTACCCACGATCTACAACATCATGTTTATTTTATTATTGTTTGAAGTTATGGTCGAGTCACGTGAAACGCACACTCAAATTGGGGATTATGTATCATGACTATGCCACGGGAACCGTACCCATAATCACGATAATTTATTAAATCGCGCCAAAAGCAAACTACGATATTCATGATTTGTTTTCTTTTCCTAGATTTGAAATTATTTGCGAAGGTCTGATTTATGGATATGGAATTATTTTGAACGAAATATATGATCTTAGCTATTATGAAAAGACGGGCTAGCTATTGGAATAAATTGCCAGCATGCGCCAATACTCCACGGCCCAACCACTGAAACCCCAAACAAATTATAGGGTACCAATCTTCTCAATTTCAAGGGCGATGTGCACAGATAGCCACTAACAGCTTATGTCTTTATTTTAAAGCCAGCGTTTTAAATGTCTTTAGTCTTTAGCCACTGGTTTAATAAACTTTAACTGCTCGGACAAAAATACCCTTCTGCTCATGTCCTTAACTTCAGGACTTCAGGACTACATGTCCTTAACTTTTGAACTTGAAACTCTAAGTTCAGGACTTCAGGACTACATGTGCTTAACTTTTGAACTTGGAACTCTAAGTTCAGGACTTCAAGGTTACATGTCCTTAAGTTTTGAACTTGGAACTCAAACTTCAAGACCAAGCGTCCTTAACTTTTGAACTTGTAAGTCAAAGTTAAGGACCTATTGTCCTTAACTTTTGAACTTGTAACTGATGTCTGTCCTTAACTTTTGAACTTGAAAATCAAAGTTAAAAGATTTAAATTTGGGAGAGTCTGCGACATTATTCTTTGGCTATGAATTGAAATCATTATTTTTGTTTATTTTATTTTGTGCTTTCCAACTGAATCATGCAAGGAGAGCAGAAGGTCTACACCCTACTTACAAAGTTCTGTTACTAACTTTTGAACCATGAATATTGAAAAGTTCTGTTAAAGAGCTTTTGTCTTTTAATGAATGCTTACAAGCGATGTGCATTAGAATGACTGTGTAGATAGGCTCCGCCACCTCAACATAATGCAACAGTTATGGAGAAGGCACGGAGAGAGAGAAGCAAGGGTTTGGGAAGAAAAGCAAGGGAAGAAAGGGTAAAAATGTCTTTTCATATTAATTTTAATAGGGCAGTGGCTATTTTTGCTCAACATTAGAATTGCTGGATAAAAAATAAATACCACCTTAAATAGTGGCTACACCATGCCATTTCTACCAATTTCAAATCAGAGTCCAAATATAGATTTATTAAAAAAAAAACACCCAACTGCCCAACCTCAAAACCCATTTGTTTTTTTTGGACCAAATGACGATATTATATGTTAAAGCTACAGTGTAGTGTTTGTTACATCATCCAGAAAACAACATGCCTTAAAGACATTGACATTGCCCCAGTCGGCTAGCTTGGCACATACAGAAGCATATATAGTTTTAACAAAATAAACACAAGTAACCCTATCCGTAGCTAGATTATTTATTACATAAGAGGGCGGTTTGTCCGGATGTTGATAGTTCCTTCCTTCTTTTAGAGCATCCCTCGCCAGCTTGTGGGCTACTTTGTTTCCTTCCCTGAAATTATGTATGATCCTCGGTTCCCTCAGCTAGAGCATTAACGACCTGCATGAGCCAATGAGTAATTCATGAGTAAGACAACCATTGTTTATAAGATTGATTACCTCTGTGGCATCTGTTTCAACGATCAAAGGAGTGAACCCCTTCATAAGAGCTATTTTGAGACCTTCCTTAAGTGATAGTAGTTCAGCCTGAATTGGAGAGGATTCCCGGCATCAGTGTTGGAAGCCCATTATCCATTTACCATTGTGGTCCCTGAATAGTCCTCCTAACCCCCCTAATTTATCCCTTTCATTGAAAGCTCCATCAATATATAAATTGTAGTATTTGTCTGAGGCTTATGCCATGCAACCTTTATTGCATGGGAAGGATCTTTTTCAGTGATTAACTTATATTCTATTGCTAGCGCTATAGCAGGCTTTGGTTTAAAGCAGTAGTTAGTGTTTAAATGGTTGTTATTATTTCGATTGAGCCATATGCTCCATAGGAGGAAAGGATATAAATCTTTCCATGTGAGGTGGAGTGAGGGAGAGGCGATATTCGCGTTGTTGAGGTATTCCAACCAATGGAATTTGTTAGTCGTTTGAGTGGTTTTAAAGCCACACATTTTTCAGTAATTTCTGACTGCATTGCAGTCAATGAAAATGTGCTCTATAGTTTCTTTTTCATTCTTATAAACTGGGCATGTGAGATCTATATTTATACCAATACTGCTTAGGTAAGATCTAGTGGGTAGTTTATTATGCCGGCATTTCCACAAAAGAAATTTGATTTTGTTGGGGAATTTTAGTTCCCAAATCCAACTAAAATCCATTGACGATTGTGTACTAGGAGAAATTAGTTTATAACAGCTTTTATGTCACGACCCAACACCAAACCCGTCGTGATGGCGCCTATCATGGAACTAGGCCAGCCTCAAACCAACGCAATCCAATACCACAGTGTAAATATTAAAAATCATTTGCGGAAAACTTTCATCATTTTTTTTAAAACAAATCATTTAAGACATAAGAGAAAGATTATATTACAATACAATCGTCCCAAAACCACGGTGTCACTGAGATCATGAGCGTCTAAGGTGAATACATAATCTATCAAAGTGTCTAAGAACCAACAGTAAAAAACAACTTGAAATGAGAAGGAGAGCCAAGGCCTGCGAACGCCATGCAGATACCTAAGCAACTCCAGAGCCTGCGACCTTGATAAACGGCTGCTACTGGGACCATAGATACCTGGATCTGCACACAAGGTGCAGGACGTAACGTGAGTACACTAACTCAGTAAGTAACAAGTCCAAACTATGGACTGAGAAGTAGTAACGAACTCAACCTCTTCATAAGATAAACAGGAATATCG